CAAAAATCTACACAAATAATTAAAAAGCCAAACTTCTAGTTGACACATTTATGAATATAACATGAGCGTAATTATAGGACTTTGTTGTTATTTACATACATTTTTACCTACATACAAATGTACATATATTCTATCGAAAAAATATGCCCAAACTTTCGATCCAAAAGTAGCGCGTGAACAAAAGGCTGGACGTTAACGTAATAAATATGTACAACACCACTGTGGTGTAACTTTACATGGATATGTATAATATTTATTTAATTATAAATAGTAGAAAAAAATTTCCAAAGCTTTATTGATTTTTTCGCTTTTGTGGTAAATTTAATTGCGCATGGCGTAATAAGTAATCCTTCGGTTTAAGAGTTCTTATTTTAGGCGCTCGCCTATAGGCAGTATTATGTAACAGGGCTTTCTTCTACTTTCATGTCTAATATACTTACATTTATGCAACGTTATTGATGCACTTTTATTAGTACATGCTTGTGACTTGTCATACTTTTAAGCGTCTTTACGCTGCAAATCTACATAAATATAACCTTTTGACCCAGCTATTGCCATTGGCAACATAATCCAACTAAATAAAAATACGAATTTCCAATCAGCCAATGCCTGAATGACTTGAGTATGATGCCCTTAAGACACAATGAATATGCCGTTATAAGTGGAATTTTTTTCTTTTACATAAGTATGTGCTCTTACATATACATATGTTTGTGTGCCTAAGCGCCTTCTAAGCTGCTTTGTATTTTTTCTACTTTATTAAAAGTTTTTTTTTCACCAAATCTTTTTCTGCTGACTTTTGTATTTCAGAACCCTCTCTCATGCTACTCGCTTTGTCTCTGTTTTTTAATATTTGAGTTTTGTAAAAAATTTGATATTTGCTTATAACAATCTATTTATTGCTTTGTTCTGTCTTGCAATAAATTGAGTTATAATTGTTTAATATGGTTCTATTTGCTGTTAAGACGAGGGTTTGAATGACAATTGTTTGCATTTAGTTTTACTTTTTTTACGGTTTGCTTAATCTTGACCAGTTTGTGTTCGCATTTTCTTATTACTATTGCATAGCTCAAGGCGCTGGCTAAGCAAATACTGAGTAAATTTGATTTCGTTTTGTCTTTCCACTTCACTCTGTGGTCAACTTCTTTACTTCTGACTATATTCGCAGTGAGAGATAACGTTTGTGTTGAGCGAATGGTTGTGCCAACAAAAGCTAACACATGTATTCATGTATTTGTGGACGTATATATATACACACACACACACTCATGGCATATTTTCCATTATGCAAGCAATTGATCCCTCATTTATTGTCTCCAAACCCATCATATTTAAGATTTTTGAATATTTTCACATATTCTATGAATTCGACCATAAAATAGGAACATTTTTATTTCTCCTACGGCTATTTCAGGCATACAATTCATATTTATTTATCTTGGAATTTTCCACATAAGTTCCATATTTATAGAATTTCTCTTAATTTTTTGATATACACAATAGCTTATCGCTTGTTCAGATTTCTAAGTACATATATACAAATATATATTTGTATTCTTCGTTTACTTTTTTATCTCCTACATAAGTTAGTTATAAATAAATACAAATACCCAAAATATTTGTGTGCCTATATTAGGGTGAGGCACCTACTGGGGATGCAGATGTTAATTTCCAAACAAGAATGTCAACAAAAATCTGACTATTTCATTGGTATTATCGTGCTGTAGTTTACCTTTCCACTTCTTTTAGCAGCCAATCTGGTTCTATTGAATGTTTCATTAGAGATAATACCAGCACGCATACATATAGAGAGCAAGTTTTAAATAAATTTTGCTTAAAGCATGAGTGCTTCATTTGGTGATTTTAAACGAGACTAAAAATGTATATTTATTAATTAAACAATTTGTAAGTTTGTTTCGGATTTACAACATAAATACTTTTTGAGTTCTAAAAATAGCTGATCAAGACACAGTTTTTTGTGTATAAAAATTTTGCGAATAAAAATAATTTTCTATTAATAATATTATTAAATATGTGTATATATCTTAATCTCTTGAAACTTTCATTCTGGTTAAATGTGAAATGTTTTAAGCCAGATAATATATTTTTGAAAATCAAAATTTTCTTAATATGAAATTTCTTTTTAAATATTTTTTATTGTAAACAAAAATCAAGGCTGAACAAAATATATTTTACGTCATAAATTTTTGCTTGACGTCAAATATTTTAAAAGTAAATTTTTAATTAACTTAAAAAGATTCTATACACAAAAATTTCGAAATATTAAACAATGTTAAACAAACAATTTCTCCAAACAAATAATATTGCTAAAAATATAATATTTCTAAATATTAAGTATTTCTTAAGATAAATCATGGTTAAATCATTTTTCGAAACTAAGTTAAAATTTTTCTCCAATTGGAATTTCTAAATTTCAAAACATGAAATATTTATACATTCAAAATAATTCAAGTCCAAAATTTTTTCCTAACCTTAAATTTTCTAAACGGAAAATATATCGCTCGCATGATAAATAACTGTAACTTAAAAAGTTTTAAAACATAATAGTTTGGCTTTAAGCCAAAAAAAATCTTAATCTTAAAATATTTCCAAACATAAACATAATTCTTAACGCAAAACTGTTCCCAAACAAAAAGACCTATTAAAATAACTAGAATTGATCATCTCTTAAACTATATGAGTAATTTTCATGAAATTCTTTATACCCTTAAACAGACAACTTTTTTTTAATTTTTTGTCTTAAAATGGTAGACATTGCGTGTCCAAAAAATATTTATACGTACTCATTGATGTACTTCAAAACCAAAATACTTGCTTTAAAATTGAGAAAAATTATAAAAAAGACATATAATTAAAATCACCGTATCCAGCAGACCAACATAGCGAAAGCCTGCCAATGTTTGTAATCACACAAGTCAATTGCGCCTGAAAACAATCGAATATGGAATCATAAAATAATGTGCATAATGTTTGAATAATGTAAATAAGGACAAATCGGTTAAGTTCACAACAATATGTGCACATTCTGTCAAACGCAAATACATATGTAGGTATAAAGGAAATATTTGAGGCAAAAACAAGCGTACTGACAAGTGCGCCTATATTATGTATACGTATAATGTGAATTTCTATGCTTCAGTGCACACAAACGTACATACACGTATATATATATTTAAATGTGCACATTTGTAAAACTTATTATGCTACAAGCACATGCACTCGTATAAGTCCTCACAATGCGTATTCACTTATTTATCTGGAAATATTTGATTATGCTCGTCTGAATTGATCATCAATTCTTTGCTGCTGTAGCTGCTGCTCCTTTGATTGTTGATTTATTTATTTGTGAATAACAATACTTTTAAAGCACACGCACCATACATAACGTACCTACACAATACATAAACACATATACATATACCTATACATACACATATATAAGCGTATTGTGTAACAAAGTTATCAGCCAATCGGCAGCTCTTCAGTCAGTCAAGTACGCAAAAATTCATTGCATATTTCTGTGCGCAAATCAAATCTATCAAACTAAAATTGATGTGGCAACAACAGACAACTATTGTACAAATCAACTGACATACTCGCACATGGGGTATGCATAGTTTGTCACAAATTTATAAGAGTTCGTTCTTTGATTGAATTCAAAATTTCAGCTTCAGTGATTGTTACGCTAAAAATATATGTATATACATATCTGCGACTTAAAATTTTTATAAACATTATTACGTGGCAGGGTAGAATATGAGTAAATATGTATTATTTTGTATATATAGTATTATGCAACTATGCATTTGTCAAATATACCTAAGACAGTAAGTTAAGTTTTATGTTTTGTGCCTTAGGTAGGAGGATAGCTCAGGCTTTTTAGCGAAACTTNAAAGTAAGAAAAAATATATTAAAATTAATTAAAATAAAATAGAATAGCATAAAAAAAAATTTATATAATACTTAATTACGTTGGTTATATTAAATAAATATAAAATGAAAAAAAAACTAATAATACAAATTATAATAACTAAAAAATTTAAAATAAATACATAAACTTATTTAAATAAAATAATGTGGAATAGAATAATTTTAAAATAATTTTCAATATATTGAAATAAAGTAAGAAATCAAATAAAGTTAACAAAAACTGAATTAATTAAAATTAAATTAAGTAAAACCAAATAAAATGAGATAAAATGAAATCATTTAAAATAATCTCACATCATTTAAAATGATATCAAATATATATAACAATGTATTTAAAATAAACTGAAAAAGTAAATAAAAAATGACGAAGTAAAGTAAAATAAAAGGAAAAAAATTAAACTTTAGCTAAATAAACAAAACAATAAAATGAAATAAAAAAGTATATAATAAAATGAAATATAACAAATAGTACAACTTGTAATTTTAAAAAAATTAAAAAAGGTGAAATAAATTTACAAAGTTATATAAAATAAAATAATATAGAAAAGAATAATTTTAAAATAAGTATTGTTATGTAGAATAAAATAAGAAATTAAATTTAGTTAACAAAATTCAAATAAAATAAAAGGAAATTGAATAAACTAAAAAAATGAATACGAAAAAAAAAAATAATTGAATTAAACAAAATCATATCAAACTAAATGAAAAATTTAGATCATGTGGATTTGACGTTCAGTTCGAGCTTTTTTACACAAAGATTTACTATGTAGAAATAAACATAGTTATGTATATGGCTAAGTGAATGTATATTTGGATCTGCGAAAACTAAAGATAAATAGAATTCAGTATTTTTATTTAGTAGTTTTTTCAAGTAATTTATAAAACATAAAAAAAATATTCGACAAGGGAAAAATAAAATCTTAAGAGAGAGTGAGCGAGAGGCAAAAAATGTCTGTTGTCTTTCTTCTATAAATTTTGTTATTGAAATTTTGAATAAAATTATACAAAATTGAATCAACTTTATTAACCACCATTTTCTCTTCTTACAGCGTAATCCTACACCAAATAAAAAAATTGGAAAACATAAATTCATGAACTAAATATTTGTTAAATCAATTTTGCATTGGTCTTAATTCATCATAGTTGTAACGCAAAAAGTGAAAAAATATGTTTAAAAAAAATATTTGAAATTCATAAAGTGAAAAAAGCATCAATGCATAATCAATTAAATTTGTGGAAAAGAAATTTTCAATACCAAAGAGTAAATAAAAGGATTTAATAAAACTGCAGCAACTACTTGAGAAACGAATGTTTGTCATTGATAAAACATCAACCACATGCATTCATCCTACATAGTAAACTATATGACAAACACACAAAAACATACAATTGAATAAACAAGCATTTCACACAGTCATTGCAAGGTTGCAGTTAACTAAAAACCAAGAAAAAGTCATCATTCAATACTTCACGGAGCACAATCAAAAAGATTCGAGCACAGAACGACAACAACTTACGAACAGACAGACCGACAAACATACAAACATACACACTCATATCAGAGAGAAACATAAACGCAAAATACATACACTTACAACAAAAAGCCGTACGGAATTGACAACAGAGCAGCGGATACGACCCTGAAAGCGCACAAAAAAAAAGAGGAAGCAAAAGGATACTACGACAACAGCGACAACGAGAAAGTCAATGACGAGAGTGAAGACGAAGCCAAGAGCACACAGCGAACAGCATAAAACAGAGTAGGGAAGACTTCATGTGCAACGAGCAATGCCAAAGCAAGTCGTTAAAAGCACAACAACGTCCGCAGCAATAAGAAGTGAAAATAAACGAGTGCATAAAAAAGTGAAAAAATAAGCAATAGAAAAAAGAAGTAAATTAAATAAAAGTTGTGAGTAAAAATTGAAAAGAAAAAAAACTTTACTTGCAGCTGTTCTCAGTGTAATCAACAACTTTGTTGTCAAAACAAAATAAAAAATTTGCAAAGCTATCGAATTTCGAGATATTTGTAATCGAAATTATTTCATCAAAACACGTCATCCAATCACACGAGTCGTTTGAAAACAACAAAATTTGCATTCATAATTTAACAAAAACAACAACAACAACAAGTTGACACAACATTTGCTAGCAATATGTTGCTGGCAAGAAGAAGAGTAGCAACGGCGATGATGAGCACAAATTCGGGTTACAGCAATATGGTTAGCATGCTGTTGGCAGCGTTGCTAACACTGGCATGCATATCACCAGCGCAAGCAGCGATAGGTAAGTGAGAGAAAGTCTTGAAAAACATAAGTTTTGTGTATTCGAAAAATAAGAATCTCATTTTTCATTTTTACAAAATTAAATATATATAATATATTTCTTTCGCACATATTACCTTATACAAATGTATGTATAGTGTCTCAAACTTGAACTTCACAAGCTAATATACAAAAATGTAAAAAGTTAAACATTTTTCAAAAAAAAGTTTTCAAATTTACCAAGAGTTAAATTTTGAATATTTTCATTTTGAATAACGGTTCAGCTCCGATGAAAGGTTTGAAAATTTTCCTTAACTTTCCCCCGTTAGTAAATGCCACTAAACTCGCATAAACCAGGTCAAAAGTCAAGATCAAATCCTAAACTCTCTATAATTCTTCAAAAAATTGGAATACACTCCTGTCCGCTCCTAATTGTTACGCTCAAAACCTGACCACTGCGGCGCATCTCATGCAGAAATAACTGTGAAAACAGAATTTGCTTCGAACTACTCAGTTCCCCTAAACAAATATGTAAATATATAGAACTGAGCCGTAGCTCTTTTTTAGGCCACAAGTAAGTGGTTTGAGGAAATCATATAGAACAAGGGGCCTCTACAGATCTGACCCAGCCGGTCCCAGCAGTAGAAAGGAATAATTCACTAACAATATCTCTCATACCTGCAGGAATGTATATGAGGAGGATTTGAAGGAGCCCTACCACTGACACCGTCAAAGCCATATTGCGGCCCTGCAACGCTCTCTCCGAAGTTTTTGCTTCCAATATCATGGTTTGCACAAAAGTCTTAATATTCTGAGGTTACTTGCTTTTTGATGTTTAATATGTTTAAATTTGAAAACGTTTTGATAGTTTGTTTTAAAAAAATCTCTATGTAATTTAAGAGTTAGAAAAATATAAGAAGGTTCACTTGTCGTCAATTTTATGGGCTCAAAAATAAAGCAAAAATGTGTTTATTTTCTTCCTTAGCTGCATTTTAGTTTTTAAATTTCTAGTTATTGAAAAAATAATTTTTTTTGTTATAGGATTTTAGAATTATGATTACTTCCCCTTAAATTTCTACAGAAAAATTATACTCTGTATAAAATCAGAAAACTTGTACCAGTCTTATAATTTTTGCTATGCTCATCCGTAAAATCATATGCATTTTTCTGATACCAATTTGGAGAGTAGCAAAAATTTAAAGGCTTAGATTAAACTTATTTAGGAACGAAAGTTTATCGTAGGAAAAAACCACTTACTAATAATTTTAAAAAGAGAGCATTTCGTAAATGTTGGTCCATATAAAAAGACATTGAAATTTTTCAACTACATGTTGACTACAGAAAAATTAATTAATATTAACCACTTTCAATTCTAAAGCAACGTGTGCATGGCCTTTCGGTCATTGTCAGCGACGACGTCTACGTGCGCCAAAGTCCTCCGCCCATTAGATCATAGGTAAATTTATAAGTATATATGTACGACTAATACTCTTTAAAAATTATGAGGTCATAAAGTTTTCTTAGAAATTTACATGACTATTCCGTATGCTTGAAATATGCGATATAAATACGGTGTACAGACGTTATTAAAAATAAATATTGAATAATAAAATGCAAAAAAATATATTAATTTTAGTACACATACATTCAAATGTGTATGAAGACAAATACCAAATTCATTCATACTGATTTACCGTGATGGTAAAACATATTTGTATAAAATTAAAAAAATACAAAATGTACTCTCACAAAAACTTGTCTCTAATTAATTAACATAAATCTATTTAAGTACTTGCTTTTATGTACTTGTGTCAATTTGAACACATGTTTTTGGCATTCTCTTGGATGCACCTCGGGAACAAGCAACGCGAAATGAGTAGGAAATAAACATATTGATGTCAATTTTGGGAACGCAGCCAAATTACTTGAGTTTATTGGTCTTTATTGCTTTTCACATTGCAAAAACAAAGGAAAACAAAAAAATCTTAAATTGAATTTTGAGAAAAAATTACTCAAGAAAAAAATTACTAAACTAAAAATAAATAAAATACGAAATATAATTAAACGAAATAAAAAATGTTTAATGAAATAAAATGAATTAAAATAAAATAAGACAAAGATATTTAACAGCCAATAAAGTAAAATTAAATAAAGCACAATAGCACAAAATGAAATAAAATATAATAAAGTTAAAGTAAAAGTAAAACAAAATAAAATTAATTGAAATAAAATATAGTGAAATAAAACCAAATATGCCAAAATAAGTTAAAATAAAATAGAAGAAATGAAAATTATATAAACAAAATAAAATAAAAGCAACAAAAATAAAATGAAATAGAGTAAAAAAAAATAATGTAAGATAAAATAAAGTAAACAAAAAAATATATACAAAATAAAATAAAATGAAAAGTTAAAATAAAAAAATCAAATCAAATGAAATAAAATAAATAATTTCATATTAAGCAGAACAAAGTTAAATAAAATAAAACAAATTAAAATTAACAAATAAATAAATAAATAAAAATATTAAAAAAAGTAAAATAAAGTTATGTAAATAAAACAGAATAAAAGAAAACTAAATTTAACTAAATACAATAAAACAAAATGAAAAATATTAAATTAAAAATGCTATAAACAAAAAAATAAAATAAAAAAACATGAAATAAATAAAATGGAATAAAAATATGACAAAACAAAAAATTATAAAATTTAATAAAATAAAGTAAATGAAAATAAAATGATGTGAAATTCAATAAAATCCAATAAGCCAAAATAAGGTAAAATAGAAGAAATGAAAATAATGAAAACAAAGTAAAATGAAATAAAACAACAAAAGTAAAATAAAATAGAGTATAAAAAATAACATAAAATCAATTATACCAGTTAAAACAAAATGAAAAAGTAAAATAAAATAATATGAAATAAAAACATAAAATAAATAAATCAGGTGAAACAGAGTAAATAAAATACAATAAATTAATGTTATAAAAATTAAATTAAAACAAAGTCAAAGAAAATAAAAAAATAATCAAAATTTAAATAAAATAAAGTTTTGTAAATAAATAAGAATAAAAGAAAAATAAATTTAACTAAATACAATTAAACAAAATGAAAACTATTAAATTAAAAATACCATAAACAAAAAGAATAAAATAAAAAACATGAACATAAAACATTAAATAAAATAGAATAAAAATATAGCAAAATATAAATATTATGTATGATAATAAAATAAAATTAAATTAAATAGAGTAAATTAAATTTGATTAAATAGAATAAAATAAAAAAAATGTAATGAAACTCAGTAAAATATAATTTCAAGAAAAGAAAAGCAAATTAAGGCAAAGTAAAATGAAATTAAATAAAAAAAATATAAAATAAAATGAATATAAACAAATTAAAATAAGTTTAAATAAAATAAATAAAATCTAATAAAATAAAATAAAAATAACCAAAATGAAATAAAATAAGATAAAACGAAATTAATTAATTAAATTAATAAAATAAAATATAATAAGTTAAAAGATAAAATAAAGTGAAATAAAATAAAATGAATAGAAATAGAACTACTCCCATGTACATATATACATATATGTATACTTTTGCTTATAGTACAATGCCAACACATGTCAATTAGCTTCTAATTTTCTTCACCTTGTATTTTGCTGCCCTCAATCGGTTGATGCATATTGTTTGCCATTCACTTCTGCGAATATTTTTGTACAAGCAAGTAACTGTGTCGAAAAGCTAGAAAATTGATGGCGAAGAAAAGAAAAATCGGCAAATTGTAAGCAAAACAAATTGCGAAAAACATAAAGTGTGTGCACACATTTTTACTATAATGGCTATAAATAGACTGATCTGAAAGCTTTGCTCATTTGCACCCACACACACACACACTCTCAAACACAATTGCGTGAAAAAATTTGTGCCGGAGCTAATGCACTGAAAAATGCCAAAGAAATGGTATTAACGAGCTGTGATTTTTTTCTGCAAAACTTCTATACGTTTGTATGCGTGTCATAAATTGATTTGCAAATTTCATAATTTTTTTCTTCTTTGCCGTTTTGTCGCACCAGTGTATTTTATGACAGAAATGTGCCAATTTGGTGGCGCCATTTCCAAGGCGAATTCAATTCTTTTAATGGTCAATGGCAGCGGAAATCAGAAAATGGTTTCATATATTATTTTGATGTTCAACATTAAAGAGAGCGCCAATATTATCGACTATTTTCAGCTCCTAAATAATTCGCCCGTTCAATTTTTATTATACAGCAAATAGAATTTTATTAGTTTAGGAGTAATCAATGATTGCTTTATATTAAGTTCAATTAAACATACGTTTAAATTAAATGTTCCGCGCATCTGAAAGATTTAAAAAATTTTTATTCATTGCCAATATTGTTACGGACGCGATAGTTGAGTGGTTAGCATTGCGTACTGCTCAGACCAGGTATTTGTCAGACTTATAGTTCCCAAGTTTTGTTTCTTAAATTAGAAACACTTAGCCAATTATTTTGTACTGTAGATACACGCCAGAGTTAAATATTACTTGTTCAGTTCACTTGATGCAGCTACTGACCAGTTTGACCACCGCACCAAAGCCAAACCACAGTGGAGTACTTCTCACCTTCTTAGATGTACAAACCATTTCATGTATCTTTTGAGCATTTTGGTCATTAATAAATATTGCTACGTCAGCCAGGCAGTCTGACTGATATTCTATGCATTTATGTCGTGTGATACTTAGAGCTGGATAGTGGCAGAGATATTGCCCCACAGACTCTTACTCTTTTTCGTCACTGCAGTTACGATAAAAGTCATTGGAAATGTAACCTGTTCTTCTAACCGTGAAATCGCAGTTATTATATCCGCTCTAGATGTATTAGATGCCTTCACCATCTAACATTGAGCACAGGCCAAAGCAGTCTAGCCACGTTTGCAGATTGCTTTGCTAGAGAATCATTAGACAAGAGTACGCTCTCGACGTGCGTAGAATTTATTTTAGTTTATTTAGAGTGG